TGTTGCAATATACAGATTTTGTATTGCGATTACAAGCACAACATGTAGCAGGTGCACACCTAGCAGTACCATGAAGTATTGCTTGTGTATAACACTGCCCTAGGCTAGGACTGCTAGCCTTCATCTGCTCATCTATGGACAGCATGTTGCACTAATGTACTTTTTGGACACTGCATTAATATACTGTGAGCATATTTTGCACACACCTAACTCTATTTTATTTTGTATTGCTGTACTTAATTTTTAGTCCTGTTTTTTGCTTGTCTTGGCCTGGGCTGCTGTAACACCTCAATTTCCCTTCGGGATCAATAAAGTCTTGTCTGTCTATCTAAGCTAGGGTGTGTTACAGACAAATAACAGATGCCAAATACTGGGCTTTATGCCAGAAGGAGATTGGAAGCATCAGTGCTTCATTGTGGCAGGACTGTGAAGTGTTTCACTAATGGGTGACACACTGTTGATGTCCCCTGTCTCCATCTGCAAAATCGCGCGTTGATTTTAAAAAAAATGAAAAACCTTAGTTTTTCATTATCGAGGTGGGGCTGCACACTGGTGGTGGTGGAGGGGATCCCCATTACCTGTAAAGCGCTTTGAGTGGAGTGTCCAGAAAAGCGCTATATAAGTGTAAGGAATTATAAATGAATTATTAAATCTGCGTGCAGGCCGCACTGGGAGAGCAGGACACCGGGGGAGGTCCATCACTTTCTTCACAGAGGATGACAAGCCTATGTTGCGCAGGTAGGCCCTGTCTGCCGACCCTCAACAGCAGAGGGCTTCTGAGCTCCCCGAGCACAGCCCGTCTCCTCGAGAGCCAGACACCTTGTGAGCAGCTTTCCGCTGAGGAGTTTCTACCCCGGTTTTTTTTTAGTACTTTTTTTGTTTCTTCTCTCCTCTCATTTTGTGAGACACCCGAGGGGGGCGGCGTTGTGCCCTGCTGGGCTTCAGAAAATCTCCACAGGAAGCGAAACTTGGAGAGCCTTTCAGAACCTGCCCCTCAGGAGCCGATGTGTTTGATGGTTTTTTTTTGGTTTTGAAACAAGAAGGCGCCATTAAAATTCAGTCCTTGATGGAAATGGTGGCCCGAACTATGAATCTAAAATCAAAGATTTCCCTGAACGTTTCCCTTCTCTTTGTGATAAAAGACTGACACCCCAGGGTGCATGTGACCCTGAGCACCTTGGGACGCAACAGGCTATGTTTAGATGCACTGTAGGTTTTCCTTCAGTTAATTCAACTCTCTGCTCTGCAGCGTTGCCAGTGTTATCAAGCAGGCGGGGTGCCCTGTTCCTGAGTACATGATTGGATTCAAGAAGTTGCACAGGTATGACTGACAGCACAGCACGCCTCAGTGACTTGTCGAGGGCTCAACAAGCAGTGTCCTTGCCTTACACAGCTTATTAGAGCTGCTTTCACTGTCCTGGGCAATGCAGGTTTGCTAGTTGTTTGCTCTTGATTTGAGCTGTGTTGCATTACCAGTTCATTATTATTATTATTATGTATCAT